ACGTGTCGAAAGAATTAATGACGTGTTGTAATTCGAATTGCGACGTGTCGAAAGAATTAACGTGTTGTAATTCGAATTGCCACATGTCGAAAGAATTAATGACGTGTTGTAATTCGAATTGCGACGTGTCGAAAGAATTAACGTGTTGTAATTCGAATTGCCACATGTCGAAAGAATTAATGACGTGTTGTAATTCGAATTGCGACGTGTCGAAAGAATTAACGTGTTGTAATTCGAATTGCCACATGTCGAAAGAATTAATGACGTGTTGTAATTCGAATTGCAATGTGTCGGAAATATTATCGACGTGTTGTAATTAAATAGCGACACGTGGCAATTTGGTAATTTGAATTACCACGTGTCAGGTGGTTGCGTTTATGACGGGTTCCTGTTTCCATAGATACGCGCCCTGCACGCGTGAGCTCCTTATTTCACGGTATACAAACTCCAAAATTCAGAGCATATGCGATACTAGCAGGAGTAAGATAATATAGGATTATATTATCCTATATTATCTTACTCCTGATACTAGTAGTAGTACGTCATAAGACGGTACTGTAATATGTGTACTTCATACTGAACTGCGTTCGCTCTAAAGACGCGAATTCAAATTTACGTATTTCAATTGGAACTGCGGCTTCAAGTTACTGCTGCAGAGTTATTGCTGGTGTTGAGAAGGCGCGAACATAACGCTGCAGCCGTGGTATCTGCCTTGTTCGGTGGCCAGGCTTGCAACACCCATACTGTGACGTGTGTAAGAAAAGACTGCTCCCATAAGCTGCGTTTGGTAGAGGTGGTTGTTATTTATCAAGTGTATGTGGAGGATAGTGTGGGGGATTTAGCTGACCTGAACGTGTACCATCGTATCCTGACTGATGCTGAGGTTGCAACAATCAGAACCTCTTGTCTTTCTAATGGCGCCTTGCCATAAAGTGGCTTGACTTCAAGACCACAATAGCTGGAGGTGTATCGCTGGTCATGCCATCTAACTGCACACCATGAGGCAATGAGTTAGGTTACTAGAATGCAAATATACTCTGACGTTTACAGAGATTAATAGAATACGAATTCCAGGCCTGTGATTGAACCCTTAGAACAAAGTAGGGCAAAAGTAGGGCTAGTAATGTCAGAAAAGTAGTGAAAAAAGTAGGGGAAAGTAGGGAAACCAGGGAAAAAGTAGGGCAGTCTAGAGTTTATTATATATGCTGAAATATATAAATATAAGTCGGCGGGGATACTATGGTTTCATGTCTGTCCAGCCGCCGCCGCCGCAGACACTTTCCCTTCCGCTCTTTAACTCGACCCCTAATTGACCTAGCGTGACCAAACATGGTCTACATACACATCTTGGGGAGAAGGTGTGTCGCGTACTGAAACCAGGTCACTGCAACCTTTATTTGACATTGACCTTGACCTTCACAATATTTCCCTTCCACTCTATAACTCAGCCCCTAATTGACCTAGCACGAGCAAACTTCGTATACTTACACATCTTGGGGAGAAGGTGTG